ACACACACACCTGGGTGTGTCACACACACCTGGAGGTGTCACACACACCTGGAGGTGTCACACACACACCTGGAGGTGTCACACACACACCTGGAGGTGTCACCTGGCCGCAGGCGGTGACGTCGGGGAGGCTCCGCCTGGTGCCCAAATTCCACGAGAAGAACTGGAAAACCTGGATGGAGAACGTGGGGTGAGGGGGGAGGGGAGGGGGAGGGGCCCAGGTGAGGGGGGAGGGGCCCCAGGTACCTGGGGAGGGGGCTCAGGTATTTGGGGAGGGGTCCCAGGTGTTCAGGGGTGTCTCAGGTGTGTGGGGAGGGGTCCCAGGTGTTCAGGGGTGTCTCAGGTGTGTGGGGAGGGGTCCCAGGTGTTCAGGGGTGTCTCAGGTGTGTGGGGAGGGGTCCCAGGTGTTCAGGGGTGTCTCAGGTGTGTGGGGAGGGGTCCCAGGTGTTCAGGGGTGTCTCAGGTGTGTGGGGAGGGGTCCCAGGTGTTCAGGGGTGTCTCAGGTGTGTGGGGAGGGGTCCCAGGTGTTCAGGGGTGTCTCAGGTGTGTGGGGAGGGGTCCCAGGTGTTCAGGGGTGTCTCAGGTGTGTGGGGAGGGGTCCCAGGTGTTCAGGGGTGTCTCAGGTGTGTGGGGAGGGGTCCCAGGTGTTCAGGGGTGTCTCAGGTGTGTGGGGAGGGGTCCCAGGTGTTCAGGGGTGTCTCAGGTGTGTGGGGAGGGGTCCCAGGTGTTCAGGGGTGTCTCAGGTGTGTGGGGAGGGGTCCCAGGTGTTCAGGGCTGTTCCCCAGGTGTTTGGGGAGGGATCTCAGGTGCTCAGGGCTGTCCCCCAGGTGTTTGGGGAGGGGTCCCAGGTGTTTGGGGAGGGGTCCCAGGTGTTTGGGGAGGGGTCCCAGGTGTTCAGGGCTGTCCCCCAGGTATTTGGGGAGGGGTCCCAGGTGTTTGGGGAGGGGTCCCAGGTGTTTGGGGAGGGGTCCCAGGTGTTTGGGGAGGGGTCCCAGGTGCTCAGGACCCTCCCCTCTCCCCCAGGGACTGGTGCCTGTCCCGCCAGCTGTGCTGGGGTCACCAGGTGCCGGCGTTCCAGGTGAGGGGGGGTCCCGCAGCCCCCTGCCCGCCGGGGGGTCCCGGGGGTCCCGAGGGGCCGTGGTTCGTGGGGAGCAGCGAGGCCGAGGTGAGGGGGGCGGCGGCGACGGCGCTGGGCTGCACCCCCGAGGAGCTGCAGCTGCAGCAAGGTGAGAGAAACACCCCAGAAACAGCCCAAAAACAGCCAGAAACAGCCAGAAACACCCCAAAAACAGCCAGAAACACCCCAAAAACAGCCAGAAACACCCAAAACACCCCAAAATACCCAAATCCCAGCCTGGGCTGCACCCCCGAGGAGCTGCAGCTGCAGCAAGGTGAGAGAAACACCCCAAAAACACCCCAAAAACAGCCAGAAACACCCCAAAAACAGCCAGGAACACCCTAAAAACAGCCAGAAACAGCCAAAAAACAGCCAGAAACACCCCAAAAACAGCCAGAAACACCC